AGACAGTTGCTGTGGGTGTCATCAAAGCAGTGGACAAGGAGGCAGCTGGAGCTGGCAAAGCCACCAAGTCTGCCCAGAAAGCTCAGAAGCTAAATGCATATCATCCCCATACCTGCCACCCCACTTCTTAATCAGACAGTCTCGGAACTGTTTGTCTCCATTGGCCGTTTAGGTTTAATAGTAAAAGACTGATGAACGATTCATGCCTCGTAAAACCTTCAGAAGGAAAGGAGAATGTGTTATGGGCCATTTGGATTTTTTTGTATGTGTGGCAATTTTTAAATTATTTGTTTTTAAAATCAGTATTTTTTAATGGGAAAAACTAGCTTGACCAAAAATCTGTCACAGAATTTTGAGACCCATTAAAACTAAGTTTAATGAGAACAAAAAATAATAAAATAAGTGTTTTGGTCGAGGACCAAAAAGTCACTTAACTCCTTCCCATACACCTCAACTTTTGATAGTATTGATACTTATTTTACAGAGTTGTTATGGGAATGAAGCAACATTCATATGTGAGAAGACCCTGGGAACTATAAAATGCTACATCAGTGTGAATCACTTCTGCTGCTCATATGCTTGACACAAACACAGAAACATAATCATTGCTCTACAATGATCTGGCAAATAAATGTTAAAGCCACGATGCAAATTTATAGGGCCAACATTTTTAAAACAAGTTTTAAATATCTTCTTATTTACATTCTGATTTACTTCTAGAAATATTCCCATCTTCAGTTGGCACACCAAGAGCACCCAAGGCCATTCTTCAGGAGCTTGCTGTGGTGGGGCGGGGCTCTCCTGATGGCCCTCGGAGAGACAGGGAACTTCGCGGCCTACGGATTTGCCCCCATCACTCTCATCGCTCCGTTAGGCTGTATGTCTGTTACAGGTGAGCCAATTTCCTATGTTTTGACAAATGGAAATTTTAAGAGATCAGAAAGTTGATGAAAAACATACAACTTAAAAAAACACACGCAGAAAGGAAGAAGGTTTATTCCTGTCTTCTTAGCATGTTAACTTCACACAATATACTACTCATTTCAGTTATTCACTGTCATGCTGCCACATGAACCATGAATAAACTTGCATTTGGTAGCTTGACCACTGTGCATAAAAGCCCAATTCCCAGCCTGCGTCTTAATAAATTCACAGTAACAGCAAATGTTATGCTGTGCTTGTTCATTATTAATGAATCAGCTCAAAGCATCTTGTAATACAATTTATATTTTATTCATATGTTAAACTGACATTGCATGTACTTAGATTCCTTGGTGCCTGATCTCGACTCCATAGGTTAGCATCCCTTTTACATTAAAAATTAAATATTTGTTTCTTTTAAAATTTATATGATTTACTAAGTACATTTAGAAAAGGGAATGTGAGATGTTGCTAAAAGACTAAAAAAGGAGCAAAAATCACTGCTGAAAAGGAGAACAAATTCTCTAAACCTCGTTAAATCAATAAGATCTTTTTATTTTTGCTCTCTATTTGCTGCTATGGAAACAGCATGTTTCTAAATTTCTGTGAATGTGGAAGCCATTGAAATAGAAACAAGTGGCTGGTTATTGTCTGGTAACAACTAGATCAAGCATACCATGTGCTTACATATCCCAGTTTTAGTATTTCTCCTAGGAAGTATAAAACAGTCTTAAAGAATGCATCGTTTGAACTGAAATAATGTGTATTTATAGAGAATTTCATTTTGTTTAACAAGTAGTTTCCCCTTCTTAATCATTCAAAATATTTAAATACATTTATGATCTATGATGATAGAACATTTAGCAAAGACCACTTTTTTAATTTCTAGAAGTTGTTCCGTTAAAATCGCCATGCTGTTACTACTCTGAATAGGCTCACAATTGATGTAATTCTTTATCATTTTTAACATCCTGATAAAGGGAGCAATTTGGGTATGTCTTATCTTCTATTTAGTATACATACCATGTACACGGACGTCCTAGATTTTATTTTCAAAATCTGAGAAATAACATAAAAGATCTAGTTATATTGTCAACGTGGGACTTCAGGCCCCCAATTCCCCAATTGTTCTGAAAATGTTATATTATTCTTCATAATGACTGTATATTTAGAGCCAATCTTTAGTTTTGTTTCTTTTTCTGCTTTATCCTCAATTTCCATGAAAGAGCTAAAGGAAAAAAGTGTCCAGGCATAATAGTTACCGGGGGCCGGGCTGAAATTCTCCATTGATCGCCAGATACCCAGTCCTGGGAAATCATTTTTCTGGGAACAAGAAAAGAACTACTCTAACCAGCTAAAAGAAAGAGGGATATGGCGGGATTTATTGTATAGATCCGAGACTTCCCAGGAATGAAATATAGCCAGGCCTTCTGGGAGGTGGATATTCAGAAGTTGTAGATCTTCAGTGAAGCTGCCGTGAAACTGCTCATTGCAGTAGGACTTGCTCGAGGCTCTCATTAACCACAGGAAGCTTAAGGGGTCCCGCCTTTCCCTCACTGCCCTGTCCTCCCCAAGTCCCCTGTGGGGCCTGCCTGCCCACCTCAAACTCTGAGTCCACTGCCTTGACCGATGGGCTTTGCTTAATGCTTCTCACTGTTTTGTGTGTGTGATCTTAGCCCCAATTAATGGTTCACATTTAGAACATTTTTAGCAACTTCCCTCTCTGCCCATTGAAAACATTCAAAGAAGTAAATGATGGCCGCAAACACAAATCATTTTCTGCTTTACAATCTTTGCAAATAATATATTCTCAGAAGTAATATCCCCACAGCACTCCTGAGCTGAATTTAGGTTATGATGAAGTGTCGTGGGTGGGATAGGGACTACTGTGATGGAGAATTTTCCCCAGAACAACCCCGACCACCCTGAGATTCTTTATAAAGATTATGGAAACTCGAGAGAATTTGAAGCAAAGGGGAAAGTATTTTTCACGCAGACGTATCTATGGCTGTGTTTACAGATAAGGCACAAGAGTGTTCACACTTCTTTGCTAGAACTTTTCCCCCTTATTATTCCTTGGGAGCCTCAACAGAGAAATCAGATCTCCCTTTGAATTAAGAAAAAAGGATAATGTCTGTTGCAATGTTGCATGGAGGTTGCATCTTCTGTTCTGGCCTCTTTTTCTTCCGCTGCTTTATAAATTTTTAAAAAGAAATTAGAATCTAGGACACTGTAGACAGTTTAGCTCTGAAGTCCAAGCGAAGGGTACCTTCTGCCCTCTTCCTCCGGCTGGTCTGCTCCTTCCAGCCCTCTGTGCTCCTTGACCCCATTGTGCAGTCTCACCACACACGGGTCTGTCTTAGTCATCAGAGCTCCTGCTCCCTCTGTACACTGCAATCGAGCAGGGTTTTTGGTGTGTTTTTTTTGTTTTAATTAGGACTAGTATGGAAGAAGCACTATGGTCAGCGTTATGGATATTTCCATTCGCACTCTCTCCACGTTCCCGCCTCAAACCATCTTCATTTCTGTCCTTTCTGGCCCTCTGTCTGTCTGTGTCCTGCTGGACCCCACTGACATGCTCACCCTGAGACAGCGTTTCACAAGGAGACTTTTGCCGGTGCTTTCGAGGGTGTTCTAAGGGACAAAGAATTCCCCAGTCAAGCACGTTTCTGAAATACTAGGCTTCCAGTTACGCAGGTGTCGTTCGTGTGGGGTTCCGGGGCCTGGGGTGGTCCAGGCGTAGGGTCAGTCTTTCAAAGGCAGAGGCAATGGGCCAGGTTTCCCAAACCTGACAATCACAAGATGCTTTTCTACAAAGCTTCTCTACAAACAACAGTTCTGCTGAGGACCCTCGGGGACTTTTTTTTTTTTTTATACTACAAACAACAGTTCTGCTGAGGACCCTCGGGGACTTCTGAAGGCAATGGTCCCAGCAGTCCCCGCATCGGGACTCAGCCGGGATAGACGACTAGCCCGAGCGGGCAGTGGGGTTGGATGACGGGAAACAGTTCTGGTGAGTAGGCAGATCGGAGTGGCCAGGCCTGGGTCCTGCTTTTTGAGAGAGAGAGAGTCGGAGCCCTGGTATCCTTGCCACCTTGTGCTTTTCCCCTACTTTTCTCACTAAAGGCCTTTGTCAGTGAAGAATGGGTCCCAACGCGTGTTCTGCGGAAAGGCTGGTGATACCAGCAGTGCGGTTAATTTTAGACTTGTGTTTGATTTTCCATAATTAAGAAAGCTTAATGGGTAGTTTTTTCACTTTCATCTAGCGCTTCGGCTGGATGCTTCCCCAATAAGCCAGGGCAGTAGAATGGTCAGGAGCACAAGCTCTCGGGCCACACTGAGGCTCAAATCTCAGTCCTGCCCCTGGAAAGCTCTGTGACCTTGGGCAAGGTGTTTAAACCGGTTCATGCCTTGATTTCTAATCTGCAAAATGGGAGTAAAAAGAGTGCTCACCCCAGTCAGAGAAAGACAAGTATCACGTGATCTCGCTCATAGGTGGAATCTGATGAACAAAATAAACTGATGAACAAAGTAGATCCAGAGACATGGAAGCAAGGAACAGACTGTGGAACCTCAGAGGGAAGGTGGGGGTGGGTGGTTGGGGAGAGATTAACCAAAGGATTTATATGCATCTATACATAATCCAGGAGCACAGACAGTAGTGTGGTGAAGGCCTGGTGGGGGGGTGCTTGTGTGGAGGAAGTTAATGGGGGGAGAAGAAGGGGTGATCTGTAATACTTTCAACAATAAAGATAATTGTTTTAAAAAAAGAAAAAGAGTGCTTACCTCAGACGTGGTCACAGGAGGAATTGGGTAACACCCTGAGAACAGAACTAGCTGAGCAGTAAGTACGGTGTCTGCCTCAGCGACAGCACTGGTTCTCGCTGCTGTGCCGCCTCCTCACATAGAAACGAAGCTCCCAGTCCCCAAAGGTGGCCAATGGTTACATTTTCTAAAGTGGATGAACCAGTTCAAGAAAAGCTTTTCGTTCTTACCCGCGCAGTGGTTAACTTTCAGGGAGCTAGAAGTCGGATCTTCCCGGCTCCTCTGTTGGGCCATTAAGCAGTAATTACCCTTGGACTCCTCCCCACATTCCCTACCAAAACAAGTTGGAAATGCTAGGATTTCCAGGTAACCTACCACGACAAAATGCACCTAGAAACCAGACCCAGGAGTTTGTCAGGGGACAAGTGGTAACAGCCTGAGATGTGTGTGCAACTCTGTCTACTTGCTACTCTCACTTGGCAGCACTTTCTTCGCTCGCTGACTAACTTCAAAGAGGCTGAAGGGCGGAGTTTTTCAGGTCTAACTGCAATTTAAGAATGTGTTTTCTGTCCGGCTGGTGTGGCTCAGTGGTTGAGTGTCGACCTATGAACCAGGAGGTCACGGTTCAGTTCCTGGTCAGGGTTTGGGCTCGATCCCCAATAGGGGGCATGCAGGAGGCTGCCCATCAATGATTCTCTCTCATCATTGATGTTTCTACCTCTCTCTCCCTCTCCCTTTCTCTCTGAAATCAATAAAAATATATTTTTTTTAAAAAAAATAGCTTCTGAAGAACTATTTACTATACCAAAAACTTAGTAAAAAGAAGTAAGCTGGATATCTGTAGAACTTGTACTAAAATTTTAAACTTCTGCTTTACTGCCTGTCCCAGGTACACCCTCCTCCTCAGCAGGCCTTTCCTGGCTCCTAGACGAAATTCAGCAGGCGTGGTCTCTGCTCAGTGCCTTTCTGTGAGTTAGCAAAAGGCAGCCTTTCTCGTGGTACTTTGTCTGAAAATTGGAATACGTTGATTTTATTGAAGCAGGACACTCTGGTGCCACCTGTCAGAAAGTTGTCCTGGGAAAGACACAAACCAACAGAATCTGAGATGTGGGTGGTGCCTCCTCAGCTGCAGTGTCTGTGCTCTGCACAACCTGCTCAGGGGCCCCGGCCGGTCCCGACCTCGCCCTTCCCCTCTGGCAGGTCCCATCGTGCTCTCAGTGACTGTTTAATGTCCTGTCCCGGCCGTTCAACCGAGAGACCCAGGAGACTGTGTGCGTATCTGGCTGCCTGCGTTGGCTCTTTCTAGGAGAGGGGCCCAGGGAAATCACACAGTACAGCCTCGGGGAATTGGTTTGAAACTGAATTGTGATAAAACGAGGATAGGACGTTCCGATCTAGGGTGTTGGGACAGAAAAGAACATGTGTTTCAAAGATTTCCATTCCTGACGAAGCACAATGGTTAAACATTTCATTGCAAGGGACTTGTGAATATTCGCTCTTGTAAATGCACAAAGGTTTATAAGACTGTCATTTGGGGGTTGAGATGGAGTATTTGTGTATCTACAAAGGGTGTCCTTCGTGTAACATTTTCCTTTTTCTGTTCATCCCCATGCCTGTGATCTATGCATTGAGAGATGATTTAAAATCATTAAGCCCTAGCTGGTTTTGCTCAGTGGATAGCGCATCAGCCTGCGGACTGAAGGGTCCCGGGTTCTATTCTGGTCAAGGGCTCATGCCCAGGTTGTGGGCTTGATCCCCAGTAGGGGGGCATGCAGGTGGCAGCCAATCAATGATTCTCTCTCATCATTGATGTTTCTCTCTCTCTCTCCCTCTCCCTTCCTCTCTGAAATCAATAAAAATATAAAAAAATAAAATCATTAAGTCAGCAACAATCCAAAGAGTTGAAGCCACATAGAGTGAAGAAGATTCAGGGCAGAGCTTGCTCAGTATAAAATTCACCAGGGGTGGCACAGGAGCGGGCCACGAAGGGAGCTTGCTGCAGGGGCAGGAGGGTGGAACAGATGGAACATGAGGGACATTCTCCAGTTTTGTGCCTCTGAGTATATTTTTTGGAAGTAATTAGAAAAGAGTCCAGAGGAGATATCATCTTTCTCCAATTAAACCCGGGCAGTCCTTTAGAAATAGCGAAAGGTAAGGAACTAACATCGAATGTGCGTCCTCTGTGCCAGGTACCATCTGAGCCACATACGCTTATTTTCCTTAATTATTTCCCAGCTGAATAGAAATGAGTAATAAGTAGGTCAAATTTGAGGTGAATTATGCGAGATCAAACACTTGGAATATTAAATGGAACGATAAAAATTAATAGCAACTCAGTCTCCTTGGCCCTGGGATAATTTCCTAAGAGAAGGAGTCACCCTCAGCGTGGCTAATTTGGATTAAAACTGGAGAAGAGAGTGAGACATATGACTGATAAGTCTTTTCCGTCTCTAATTTCCCCCAACATGCTGGCTTTTGCTCAAAATGAAATGCAGGATGTGGAATATATGTTGTTTCGTGTATTTCTGTTGTGCTGTTAGGAAGCTCTACACTGAAACACGTCTGCGATCCATTAGATGATGGGCATAGCGTAGCCAGACGCCCGGGCGAGGCCTTTTGGAGTTCCAGAGAAGTCATCTCAAGCAGAAACTTGGGTCTCCAAGATTTTTATTAGAAACAAATGAAAGGAAGCATAAACAGACCAATGAGTGAGTGACATTGCGTTCCACAGACCTAGATACTGCGCGTGTCCCAGCGCTGGGAGCCCTGTGCTTAATGCCAGCCGGTGAACTCGCTGGAGCTCCAGACCTCACAGCTGCCTGTGACAGTGGCGCTTCGCATGCATGTTTATCTTCATGTTGGACATGTGCAAAGATAAGATACCCCTTTTCTCAGTGACTTGCTGGGCCGTCTGCTTCAGCACATGGTCCCCAAACCAGCCTAAGTAACATCCTATATAAGAAAAGCCTAATATGCTAAGTGTCCGGTTGTCCGGTCATCCTTTCAACCAATCAAAGCGCAATATGCTAGTGATATGCTAAGGCCGCTCAACTGCTCACTGTGATGTGCACTGACCACCAGGAGGCAGACAGTCAACCAGTCGACCAGTAGCTATGACGTGCACTGACCACCAGAGGGCAGACGCTCGAACCAGCAGGTTAGTTTGCTGCTGGGGTCAGGCCAATCGGGACTGAGCAAGACGGGTCAGACACGTCCCTGGAACCCTCCTGCGGTCCCTCCCTGGCTGACCAACCTCCCACGTCCCTCATCGGCCCCGATTGTGCACCGGTGGGGTCTCTCGGCCTGACCTGTGCCCTCTCGCAATCCAGGACCCCTCGGGGGATGTCGGAGAGCTGGTTTCAGCCCGATCCTCCACTTGTGCACAAATTCATACACCGGGCCTCTAGTGTGTGGAATAAAGCTCTGAGGTTCTCACCTTACGTCTGTCCGCTCGTGCACTCAGCTGAAAGCATTCCAAAAACCTAAAAACTGTATTTGAAATGTCTCTTCCGTCCATCCTTATTATTTGAGAACACCACAGTGTATTTCTAGAGAAACTGCTATTGTTGAAGTAATGTACATTTAAATTTATAATACAGAGTTAATCTTTCCAGTGATAGCATTTTCATTTTTTTTGGAGTCTTTTCAAGTTTAATCACTACTGTGTGTCAAGAAAAAAAATGTAGAAAAGAAGGGATCATTGTTCTTAATCCAGATACATTTTCTCATTTGAAATTATGCGAATAACCTATGAATTATCCTTTTATTATCTTCAATAAATGACAATAGCAATTTTTTTAGTACGATGAATTACTTATTCACTTTTATTCCTACCATTAGGGATGGTAGGCTAACTTTTCTCTCTGTAAAGAAACATCTTTCAATGTGTCCTCAGATCTTCAAATCCTGACTCCATGGGGTATGTTGTAACTGACATGTAATTCTACAACTAACAGGGAATGATAATTGTGGAGCAGCCAGTGCCTCATACGATTAGACTAGACTGAGCCTGTGAGCACGCTCCATGTGTGCACGTGCTTGACGCTGGGCTGTGACTGACACGAAAGTGCTTTGCGGTTTGCTTTTACCCGTACAATACAGCTGCCCTGCTAAGTGGTCAGAAACCACAAGCCAGATATTTACATGCGAGGATCTGTTTGTAGCGTTATTATGTAAGTCTGTTCTTTTCATGTCATGGGTTACTTTGTTTTTTTCATAAAAGAAGAGTTTTCTTTACTACTTTGCCTTCTACTTTCCTATATTATAAACATATACCCTGAGTTCTCTTCAGATCGTAGATACAAAACGGTAACTCGAATGTCCAGGAAATGGAAATTGAGGACTAGGACAGTGCTCACACACTGGTGGTGGCCTGCCGACCAGCTCTGGCCTCGGCTGTGTTTTGTTTGGCTCCAACAATGCTTATAAGAATACAAATTATTTCCCCATGTTTAGAAACTGGACCATGACACACACGAACTGGATTTTTGTCTAAAAGAATCAGATTTGGTAGCAGGGGACTCGCAGTGCGCGAGGGCTGAGTGATGGCTGCCACCTGTCACTGACTGTGTAGTCCGCGTCGCCACAGCCCACTCCTTTTTCCTCTCCAGAGGATTAGCTAAATGGCCACTGTCGGCATTTGCGTTCGTGACCTGAATGGGTTTTTTTCTTTCCAATTGAATCAAATAAGAATATCATATCATAATTACATATAGGTAATGTGTAATTGTTTTTATTCTTAAGTTTTGGATTAAATTTGTCTTTTAAGAAGTGGTCATAAAAGGGTAAAAAATGAGACGTACATGTGAACAAAATCTTTTTTTTTTATTCTTTATTGATTAAGGTATTACATATGTCTCCTTTCCTCCCCCTATCAGTTTATATATGTTGTTCATTATATTCCACAAATGAGTGAGATCAGGTGATATTTATCTTTCTCTGACTGGCTTATTTCACTTAGCATGATGCTCTCCAGGTCACCCATTGCCCCCGAAAATGGTAAGAGTTCCTTCTTTTTTACAGCAGCGTAGTATTCCATTGTGTAGATGTACCACTGTTTTTTAACCCACTCATCTGCTGAGGGGCACTTAGGCTGTTTCCAAATCTTAGCTATTGTAAATTGTGCTGCTATGAACCTAGGGCCTGGTTGCAAAGAATAATTCAGAAATGATATTCAAGTAAAATCTGCAGACATCTCGTGATTATTTTTGGTATTACGTTTCTCATCGTTCATAACCTGATGGCTTTTTATGACAGATACTGGGAGTCACAAGATGTTGCCACGATCTAACTAGAATTGCCAAGGTGTCTCATTAACAAGAATCCAATTGATGCCTCAAAAAAGGAGAAACGGAAGGACGCCAAGTCAGGATGATCTGAAGTTAAACCTGGACACCTTTGGGCTTTTGGGCCTTTTTAAAGTCTCTTGAGCATTTTTAAATAGAAATAAATTTGGGTTTCACAAAAAAATAAATAAATAAAATAAAATCAATAAAACATATTCTCAGGTGAGGAATTTTTTTTTTAAAAAGTGCTTTGCCAAGTGGATAGGCAAAAATAAGGTTTTCCAGTCTAACATATTCATATTTATTCATAATAATCATACTTTTATTGACCATTTGTATTTTTTCTGTTGATTATACATTCATGCCCTTCACCCATTTTTTTTTCTAGTGCATTAATATTTTTCTTATTTATAGGAGTTCTTTATATATTAAGGTTGTTGACTCTGTTGGTCTTGATGTGGTACACATAAACAAAAGTTGCCAATCCAAATATACCCTGAACACTGGGGGGTAGGGGAGGCCAGGGGATTGTCAAGGGCGGGGGAAAAAAAAGACACATATGTAATACCCTTTGTAATACTTTAAGCAATAAAAAAATGAAAAAAAAAACAAAAAACAAAAAACAAATAACAACAAGCTATTGTACATAGGAAAAGAGAGACCGCTAGACTTTGTTAGGGAAACAACTTTTTATTGTCAGCAGAGAGGAAGGGAGAGGGAGAGAGAAATAGAAACATCAATGATGAGAGAGAATCATTGATCACTGCCTCCTGCACACCCACTGGGGATCTTTAAATATATTTTATTGATTTCAGAGAGGAAGGGAGAGGGAGAGAAACATCAATGACGAAAGAGAATCTGATCAGCTGCCTCCTGCACGCCCTCTATACTGGGGATCCAGCCCTCAACCTGGGCCCTCAACCTGTGCCCTGACCAGGAATCGAACCCTCACCTCCTCGTTCATAGGTCAATGCTCAACCACTGAGCCACACCGGCCGGTACTGACTTCTCTTCTTGAATTTACCTCACAGTTGTAGGCTTGTGCGTCACTGACATCACTGTCCTTTTAGAGGAGGGGTCCTCAAACTTTTTAAACAGGGGGCCAGTTCACTGTCCCTCAGACCGTTGGAGGGCCGGACTATAGTTTAAAAAAAAACTATGAACAAATTCCTACGCACACTGCACATATCTTATTTTGAAGTAAAAAAACAAAACGGGAACAAATACAATATTTGTATTTGCATGTGGCCCGCGGGCCGTAGTTTGAGGACTCCTGACCTAGATGTACCACAGTTTTTTAATCCAGTCGGATTAAAATCTTTTTTAAATAGCCATACTATAACACATTTAAATAGTTATTGAACTTTCTCCTGTGCCATTAAATCTTTAATTAAAAAATTATTATTTGGAGGGGTAGATAATTTAAGTAAAATGTACACAAATAATTCAGTGTTGCAAATTGAAAAAGGGAGTGCCATTTACCTATCACTCTACAGACCCAAAAATCAAAAATGATTTTTAGGTAAAAATCTACCCTGGGGTTTAATTGCTATCTTACAGAAATGTTACCGAACTCAAGGGGTTTGCCACTTGGGATGTTCTTATTCAAGGACAAGACACGGTTGCTATTAGTTTTATTCTGGCAGCAAGTAAAACTCACATCCAAAGCTCTGCCTTCCCAAAGGGAGGCTTAGCCGTTGCTTATGTACACTGTTTGGTTGATTGCCTGTCAATTTCTTCTTTGCAGTTGGCTAAACTTATCTAGTTATGGTTCTGGTCTAGCTCATCCCATTGCAGCTGCATCTGCAAAATACTGTGCATTTTTTAACATCTAGCAAGAATAGCATTAAGAACCAACCCCCAAGACCTTGAGACCCTTGTCCTGTGTAACAGAAAACTGATGCCTAACTTCTGATCCTTAGTGGCTATCACAGAAGAAATCCAAATCAAGTTAGTGCAACCTATCTGAACTCTCATGCACCAAATTAATGTATGCTTGTTGGTTTCTCCCTCTCACTGTGGCCTGCTATGGATCTTAGAGCACCAACTCTTGGCCACATGAAGCTAAGTAACTCTTCCATAATAACAACCAGGTTTTAGAACAAGTCTAAGTGACGTCAGAGAGGAGGTGAATGAAGAACAAATAGAGGGTTTGTTCCTAAGCATAGCAGGAAGTATTAGAGAGCTCAATACCAGGGCACATCCCTATACCTGGGACTGGAACGGTCCCCCACATCTAGACTTGGTTCAGCTGCAGCCACCAGAATCTTGCTTGGCCTTTATCTGTTTTCACCTGGAAATCCCAGTCAGAATGCCCATGTGTAAGTTTCCTTTGTCAGCCTTGACCAGAAAGCATCTGCATTCCGATTGCTAACCTGAGTGACACTTAACGGCTGAAGAGAGAATAGATGGCTCATCAATAGGAGTCAGTCCATTGTAACAGTTGCTAAGATTCTTCGTGGCCATGAAGCTCTATGGTCGAGGCCAAGTGACTATATGACTAAACTTCCCCATGGAGCACTATTTGAGCCAGAGAAAATACTTTAGTTTTTTGTGTGTGTGTGTGTTTGAGGCCAAGTGACTATATGACTAAACTTCCCCATGGAGCACTATTTGAGCCAGAGAAAATACTTTAGTTTTTTGTGTGTGTTTTTGTCCTTTCCCCTATGGATAATATTCCTGCTATCTTTTTCCCTCATGATTCCTACATAACCACTTCATATGCTGCTTTTCACCTTTTTTAGTGTGTTATGGTCATTTGTAGTCCAGTGTCTATCTCTGGAGTCACAGTGTGACACTGTGTAATGAATTTAATCCCAGAGTCTATGCACACTCATGTAGACCTGTGTCTGTGAGCGCTCTGTGGAGACCAGTGGCCGGGAGCGTTCTCTGTGTAGACCCATGTCCTACGAAAGCCAGAATGAACCTCTGCCCAAATATGCGTGTAGTCCAAAATATACCCAACAGTGTGCGTGCTCAGAGGTACCTATACCCAGCACAAATCTGTTTCATTTACAAGTGTGTTCTGTTTTAATGCTTTTGATCTCGACATTTTTTTCTGTTGAATATTGGATTTTACTAGAGGAATAGAAGTGTAATAGGTTTCCCCCCTTTCTAAGGGTCCATTGCACAGTGGTCATGGTTATAGCCACAACTAGACAGGGTTGAGTTTGACAGATCTCTGATTGCCAATGTATACGGGAGCACTTTTAGTTTATTTTTTCCTCATCTTAAACATTTACTACTCTGCTTGGAAGTCATGTGATCAGCTGTTGTTCCGATACTGTTTTTGCTCAGCCCTGCTCTCATTTTAACAATGTTTTTCAGGGTAAATGAGTTACAAGTAAATGTATCTTAATAGAATGTTCCTCTTATTGCTTTCTTTGCTAGATAAATAAAACTTAAAATCTTTTTATTCTCTTATGTAAAAATTTTATAGAAAATCTCATGTTCTCTTAAAACAGAAAAATGAGTATATAAGTGCATCAGACATAATTTTCTTTTCAGAAAGTAAAAATAGCATGTTTATGTTTCATAAAACTCTGATAACTATTTCACAGCAATTTATATGATTTGACGCATTAGTGTAGTTCAAGCTTATTGTTACCAATCATATCCTTTTTGCGTTTTGTAGCTTTAACAGGCCCAGTAGCCTGTTGGATGTGCAGTGTGAGGGGGGAGCCAGGCGGAGTCTTAGGATTCTGGTGCTCGACAGAGGCATCATAGGAGTGAGGATTAGAGGAGGAGGTGATGGGAAATAATGAGTTTCCATTTGGGATATGAAGTTAAGACTTCCTTCTTTCCACCCTTCCTTTCTTTCCTTCCCTTCTGTCTCTTTCTGCCTTTCCATAGCAACACTGGTGTCACAGTTCCTCCCTCCCTCTCTCCCTCCCTCCCTCCCTCCCTTCTTCCCTTCCTTTCCATTCATTCATTCAGTCATTAAGGCCTCACTGTCCATGGGGCACCATCCCAATCACGGTCCCAGGGCCATTGTGAGCCAGGCTACTTTCCGTGTATCCTGAACCATGAGCAGGAAAGAAGTTACTTTACAGCCACAGCCGCTGGGTCTCTGACCAGGACACAGCCAGCCAGCTTAGGACACGAACTGCTTAACTCCTTTCAAATGCCATTGCGTAATATATGTTTTTATGTTGGAAACACCACTAACGGTCATTGTCTTTCTAGGTAGTGCCTTTATTTCTGCTATGTTTCTGAAAGAAAATTTGCGAGCCTCCGATGTACTAGGTAAGTAATTCTTCAATTCATGTCATTACAGCACTGCTTGATCAGGAAGTAAATAATGCTATCCATAAAAAATATGTGCTTTGGAAACTGGGAACAAATTACTGAAATGATATCATCTTGGAGGTGCTGTTTGCTCTTCCATGGGAAATACTTCCATCTTCATTACACCCACTCCCCATACTATTGACCACAGCAAATTATTATTTTATAGTATTGTGGTTATGAATTTTATGAAATTTTTACGAGCATAATAAAATCCAGTAAATTTTATTTCAAAGGATGTATTTGTTAGACTGTCCCATGAAAGTATACATGGAAAAGGAAAAAACACACCCTGGCCAGTGTTAAGTGGTTAGAGTGTTGGCCCTCGGACCAGGAGGGTCACAAATTCCATTCCTGGTCAAGGGCACGTACCTGGGTTGCAGGTTCAATCCCTGGCCCTGGTCAGACCATGTGTGGGAGGCAACCCATCCATGTGTCTCTCTCACATCAATGTTTCTCTCTCTCTCCCCCTCCCCTCCCTTCTTTCCTTCCACTCTCTCTAAAAATCAATGGAAAAAATATCCTTGGGTGAGGATTAACAAAACAAAAAAAAAGAAAACCACACACACAAATTAGATGTACCAATAGCTACCTGGTTTGCAGTTAGTTCTCTCCAAACATAACATAGAACATCGCTCTTTTATAAAATGTTATTGAGAAATACAGCTGCTGGTGGGAAATGACAGTAGCCTGCCTGGTGTAAGACAGATTTGTTATTAGCAAAGCTATCATCTATTGATTCTATCTTCCACCTCTTGTTGGAAATGTCATTGGTGAGAAGACTTTGGAGATTCCTGTTTCCTTCCTTGACAAACTCCTGTCTGAATTGCTGCTGGCGTATGATAATGAATATGATCCTTTAGGTGCTTGAAATAAAGCAATGTCCACTCGCTTCCGAGGAGATCACATTTGCTTTTAGAATGTGAGCGTTAGCTGGGAGACCAGCGTTGCTATGTTGAGCCTTATTTGTCTCTGATCATATTTCCCAGGAGCGAGTGTTAGGACAGTGTTGGCACTGTTTCTCTTCCTCCTTCCTTGGATTCTGCTACTAGAGTTTGTAGTCAAGATTGTCACATTTTTCATGGTTAAAGTGTTTTCCCAAATGCTATTCATACGTGAACTGCATCTTGTCACCTATATTCTTTTTCTATCTTTTTTAAATATATGATGGTTTGTGCAATCATTTGGGGGAGTTGTCTGGAATAAGAATGAGCCATGCCCGCGTTTTATAAGTTAAAAACCTTAGGTCCTACATCATTTTTCTCAGTTATGTAATGTCTTCAGGAAACTTTAAATCGTTTTACCTAAAATATACCATCGTTTGTCATTAATGGTCGATTAATGTTTAAATTAATCTAAGATATTTGATGAAGCGATACAAATGGATGTGAAGGGAGACTTGCCTAATTATCGTGAACATTCGTGGTAAAAAGATGACTAATTAAGACAGAATCTCTGCCCCCAAACAATACAGTTGAATGTTTTTTAAAAGCAGGAAATAATACGTATCATTAAGGCCTGAAGCTTTAGTTTAGAACAGGGTTTCTCAACCTCAGCACTGCTGATGTTTTAGGCTGGATACTCCCTCTTTGTAGGGGGCTGTCTTGTGCCTCGTAGAGTATTTAGCAACATCCCTACTGGCCTTTACACAGTGGATGCCCGTAGCACCTTCTGCACCAGTTATGACAACCAAAAATGACTTCAAACATTGCCAAATGTTCCCGGGCCGGGGGAGAGGGGAGTAAAATCGCCCCCAGTTGAGAACCGCTGGTTTAGGGTAAGGAGAGATTACTCTAACTGGGAAGCTCAGAGAGAACTTTTGACAGCAGAGGTAACGTTTGAATCCTCTCTGCTGGCTGGATAGGACAGGCAGGGGCCACAGCCAAGCATTGGGAGGTGGGCATACAGAGGGAACAACACGAGAAGTGTTAACGAAGGTGCAAAAGGGTAAGTATTCAATACTGTACTACAGCCACTGCCTGTAAGGTTTAGGGAAAGAATAAATGCTAGTCATAAACTGTGAGAGGGAAGGATATCAGCATCAATCGGTGCAGGTGGTTTGATCATAGACTTAGAAAACCCAAAATCAACTAAGCATTACTAACAGCAATTAACTGGCTCAACATCAAAGGATACGAATTGAACTCACTCTCGTGGGTTCAGATCTGGATTCAGCTTCTGCTGTCAACTGTGTGGCCAGCATATGACTTCACTTCTCTAAGCCTGTTGGCTGACAAGTATTAGAGACTGTTTTAAGGATCAAATTGGGTCATTCACTTAAGCACTTTGAACAATGTAAAGCCCTGTTCATTGTCATCATATGTGTAGCCAACTTTATGCCCAAGAGGTAATACTAAAAAGGAATAAGAAACATGTTCGTTCTCGCTCTCTCTCTCTCTCATCAAACCAAGTAAAACTTCTATTAGTTATTTAATTCTTCACTAATTTCTCTTATTTTAATAACAGAAAACTTTATTAAATATTTATTCTTTTCTGGTATCATAAATGTTCTAAATGAGCTATCTCATTTAAATGCAGGAACCAACCCATTTACAGAATGGGTACTTAGGTTGGATAACTTGCCCAAGGTCATATAACTAGCAAGTGGGGAGCCAGTGTGCCCCTACTGGCAGCCAGGTAGCACTACAGGGCAAAGGCTCCGGTGCTTCTCCCGTGTCAGAAAGCTGTGTGACCTTTGCAAAGTGACTTCCTCTCTTGAAGTCTCAATTTTCTCATCTTTAAAATGAAGATAATATTACCTGCCTCAGAGGGTTAAATTAGTTCATGTGTATAAAACTCTTAGTATGGGGCCTATCACATCATATCATCCTGACTCCTACTACCACCCCAGCCACCACTACACTCTACTGATTCAGCAGAGGACACCCAGAGGAGGATATCTTTGCACACATTAGCAATCCAGGTTTCATTTCCCGTGGCTCTGGTTGGGGTTCTTTTTTTTTGCCTTCCTAACTTGATGCTTTTTTAGTAGGGCTATATCACCGATAGCACATTTGTTGCATACTCTAGTTAAAACTGCTCAATATTCTCTCTCTCTCTCTCTCTCTCTCTCTCTCTCTCTCTCTCCATATATATATATTTTTTTTTTTCAAAGAGGAAGGGAGAAAGAGAGAGAGAGAGAGAAACATCAATGATGAAAGAGAATCATTGATCAGCTGCCCCCTGCACATGCCCTACTGGGGACTGAGCCCGCATGTGCCCCAACCAGAATCGAACCGTAACCTCCTGGTTCATAGGTCGACGCTCAACCACTGAGCTATGCCAGCCAGGCAAAACTGGTTAATTCTTAATTTCAATCTAGTATCATAAGAATAAGGAAGGATGTATTCACCAATTCCATACCCACGTCTCCAACAGCGGCATCATAAGATGATCGTGATCTGAAGTGCCATCACCCACCTCATGCTTAGGAAGAGGTTTTTCCTCAGCCTCACTCAGCAGTGTGTTGTCACATGTCTTTTCTTTTGTCCTGTATTGCTGTTGCCTTGAGCAAATTTGGCTCTTTCTGTTAGAAGCTAAAAATGCATTTTTTTTCCTTTACACAGACTAAAACCAAACAAGGAAAAGAATAGTGACATTTTAAAAAAAAGATTAACATATAAGCATGCTAAAAATTAAATTGTCAAAATGTGCAAAAGAAAATCACTTATTTTTCCCTGCTTGAAGCAAATGGCAGTTTGTTTTGCATGATGGAACAAATGAAGATTTTTGGACCATGTGGGAACAAGCTGAACTAATTTATTGCCAAATGTTGCTCTGTGACTCTGAAGCTTTTCACCACTGGCCTCAAAAAATGACCTCACAAAAGCTATGTCTGAAAGGAATCGCCAACTATTATTAACTCAATGACAAGCTTTGGACTGTGTTCTGATTCTCAGTGGATTAATAGCTTTAAATTATTTTAATGATTTTTTTTCCTTTAAAAAAAAGCACCAGATTTCTCTCCCCTTTAATCAGCCAAAAATGATAGTATGTTCCCCTCTCTTCTCCCTTTGTCATCAGAAGTACGGAATCTAATAGTCTGGGAGATCCTAGCTGATTTACTCCAGATACTTATCATAAAAATAAAAATTGCAGTGCATTCATCAGCACTCTCCAGAGACTAGTAACGTATTGACTTCAAGTCACCTATTAATGTCTTCCCCAGACAGAACGTCAAGAAATTCATTGTGAGACGAGGACCATCTCCCGCTTCCTCCTCCCACACCAGAGGTCAGCTTGTTCGGGGCCAGTGGCTAGAGTACGAATCTAGCCAAACAAGCCATTGTCTCTGGATGAGAGGACAGATTGGTTGTTCGGGCTTCCAAGCCGCCCCACGAAGGGCAGGCTTTGTGAAGGCAGGTTCAGGACTCTATTCCCTGCATTATAGAGACTTCTCAATCCAGGCCTCCTTCAGCATGTCACTGCCATAGCCTGGGAATCGGGGGAGATTGTACTGAGGGGAAAGAATGTCCCACGGGGTGTTCAGGAGCCCAGTTTATTCCGTGACTCCTGGTAACCCACAAAAGTCATAGCTGGAGCCCTGTTGATCAGGAGACACATTGCCAGGACCAAGAGAGCCCCCCCATCCATCTTCACTGGAGTCGGGCTCAGCTGAATCTGAAAAAAACTCTTAAGGCCAGAAGTAAGGTCAAGTCATATTCCAGAAGCTAGATGATAGACAGGTAATACCCGCTAGCCTCGAGCCCGGGGGTGGAGACCAATTAAAGGAGATTTCAGGTTTTACTTAAGAGGACGGTTGGGCTGGGAAACGGGATGTCAGCCGAGGAAGAACGGGGCTGCAGGTCTCAGATCTAGGGCTTGCGTAGAGGAGGACACAGCAGCTGGAGGTGCCAGTGAACGGAAGCATCGCTCTGATTCTAGGCTGTTTTCCCTCCAACCACTTTGTACTGCATTCTCAGTCCGAGAGTTTCAACAGGAGACTTTTACGCTAGAGCAGCGGCGCCTCCTGAAACAGGCCGCACAGCTGCATCCAGTTAAATGTCAGACGTTTCCCAAAGTAGAAAATAGTCCGCAAAGCGTACTATTCAGGATGATATTAATGGTCAGATATGGTTAGAAATATTACAACCATATCCTCCTCGAGGAGATTCACAGCAAACACTAAGGCATTGAGGGTCCGAGGGATCTTTCAGTTAAAGAACCATTTAAGTTTTTAACTCACCTCCTCCCAAATCAGTTTGACGTGGGACCTCTTTTGGTGGAGCATCCACATTATGAAACGGCTTCCAGTTTGGAGAGCTCGTCTGAAGGAACCCCAGGGCCAGCCAGGCCCCCTGCCATGGAGGTCAGTTCCTCTGTCCCCAGTGGGACGCTGCGTGAGGCCTCAGGTTATGCTCCGCACAGCTCCTGGGTGCCACTCGCTGAGACTACAATGTCAGGGCTGAGTTGTCCATTC